ACTTTTGTGGAACTGACAGCAGGAGCATCTTCTTTTGGAGGAGGCGGCAGCTTAGTATCCTTAGCATTTGAGGAATCATCCCTGGTTGTGAGGTCTACAGCTTTAGCATATTCATTCAACTTGTCAGTATCCTGAAACTGCTTAGCTTTGACATGCATCGGATCCTGGTAAAGAGCAGAATACAGGTCTTCTTTCTTCCCAAAGCTGGGTACATTTATGGGCTCATCTGGCAGCTTAGCTTTCTGAACCATCTCAACATGCACATCATCAGAGGTTCGAATAGCATCTTCCATAAAGGATATTGGGGAGGACTTCTCAGAGTCTGCAGTCTCAATGATTGGTGAATATTTTGGACTAGGAGTCTTTCCTGACTGTATACCTACTGCAAATTCTTCCATCTGCAAAGGTTTATCTGGACTCTTGAAAACTTCTGTAACAGGACCCTTAGCAATAAAATCAGAGGGGTTCTGAGATGTGTTTGATTGTACTTGAAATGAATGCAAATAGGATTTATTTTGGGAAGACTCTTTAAACAGTAAATCACCTTTAAGTTCCTTTTCTGGAGAAATGCTTTGAGTCTTCACACTGGTAACAGAGTCACAAACTTTCCTTGAGACAACCTCAGGTTCCCAGTGCTTATAGGAAGGCTCACTGTGTTCAGATTCTGATGAACTATCATCGAAATGTTGACTAAACTGAGACTCAAACTCATCTTTCATAGCCTTTGAAAAATCTGGTGCCGATTCTGTTGGAATAGTTTCTTTTATTAGGTCACATGCTATGGATATGTAGGGTGCCTCCGGTTCTTGAGATGGGGACTCTTCCTTTACTTCAACACGTTTAGCTGCTTTGTCCTGGTCTTGAGTTCCAGATTTACTTACAGCTTCTTCATATGAAGGTGGTTTCTCAGACTGAAATTTTATCTTCTCCTCACTAACAGCAGGGGCACTGCTTACAGGTGAAACATCTGGATGAAAAACACTGGCTTCTAACCCAACAGAACTAGATGTTAATGGTGCTTCCATAACTATATCAGGCAAAACTGGTGAAGATACAGAATCTGTGCCTTCAAACAGTGCAGGTGTTTGAGATGTAGGAGTAACATTGTCAGATTTGGCAGCATTTTCTTTAACAGCTTTGGCAGCTGTTTGAACCAAATCCATTTTGGGTTCATATCCAAGTATGGGTATGCCAATATCATGAGTTTCACTTCCATATGCTTCTTGTACAATATCTGGAGTAAGGCCTTCTGACTTGGTGGGTACGTGGGAGAGATCACCTCCAATGACATCGTGAGTTGTAACATAATCATCTTGTCGGTCTACATGCTCAAAGAAAGGATTCAAGGATGTAAAGTTCAAGGCCGACTCCAGTGAAGTTGTCTTGGCTTCCACTTCTTCCATCTTCTTCTCATCGGTTTTGTTTCCTAAAACTTGACTTTCCACTGTAGTGGGATAAAGGCTCTTTTCTAAAGAAAACATTTCATACTCTGAAGACTCAGGACCTTCTGGCGTAATTGGTGAAATATCATCAGATAAGTCTATTTCATTATCTTCTTCATATTTTTGCTCTGGCCTTTTCACAGCTTCTATATTCAAACTGTAAATATCACTTTCAAATTTCTTAGTGCTGGCTTCATAACCACCCTCATACGATTTCACAAATGGTTTGAAATCTACATACTGTTCTTCAAGTGCTTCTTTGATCTCTGAAAATTCCTCATGAGGAGGTCCAACAGCTTTAAGCATTCCTGAAAACATCTCTTTAGCAGACTGTGCATATAACGGTGTGTGGTCTTCACTTACGGTCTCTTGCTGAGATGTAGGATGTTCAACTACATAACCTTTTTCTGAAAAGATCACATCTTCCTTTATTTGCCCTAAAGAGGAAGATCCCTTATGATAGGACACCTCTGAATAATCTGGCTCCACCTCATTGCCTAACTTTACACTGAAAGCCGTATCACCTACGGTCCGTGACACCCCGTGCAGATCACTAACAGGCTCTTGCAAAGCTTCTGGTGCAGTTAAATTAGCATGAAAAGCAACAGAGACTACTTGTTCTTTAGAGGAATCAGCAGACAGAGGAGACATAGAAGGAGGAGAAGAAGCAGACTCAAGCAGCACAGATGCAAGTTCCTCTTGGCCAGCCAACATAGTGCTATACGGCTGCTGCATGTCCAGTACTTTGTCTGTGACCACGAACAGAAAGGAAGGTAATCAGTAGCAGAAAGAGATAAGCATGTACATAACTGCGATACATAACACATGCAGCAAACAGCTTTTTTGATACATTAAAACCATTTCTTCATGGCGTGTATATATATTAAAATTATAACAAAAAAACTTGCACATAAAAGGTACATTTCATGTCAAACATTGCCCTAGCCCCCAGCGGTCACACAGTTAACACCTCTGATGGATGCCTGAGGAGTAGCCACTGGAGGTGTTCCTAGGCAGTAATGTCAACACCCCATTTCTGTGAAAAGGCAGTTTTGACATTAAAAAGCTTGCAGGGAGATTATATACTCACCAGAACAACTACAGTAAACTGTAGTTGTTCTGGTGACTGTAGTGTCTCTTTAAATATAACCATGATGAAAGAATACATCATTAAATGCATGCACATTTTTGTTTTGGGGGTATATCTATTAAACAGTAATTTATTTACTTTGTATTCCAGAAAAATCCAATTTAAAGGAACATTCCAGGCACCACAACCACTACATTGTAAAACAAATATCTGTTTTAGAACATTTGACTTCTTACATGGGGTCTATGGGGGACTGCTACTTGCCACCACTACAGAAATTAGAGCAGCATGCTTTAGTGGTTATGTTGCTGGAGTGTTTGTTTAAACAGATCTCATTAATATAAATTTGTTCTAACCTAGTAACTAACCTACTGAATATATAATTTTCCCCATAATTCAACTAGTGAATCTCCAACCAACATGCTAATTTTAGACCTTTAACACTGGATAGTGGGATGTGGAGAAGCCCAATATCCCATCACAACCTCCATATTCAGAATATTCTCATGAAACTCTTCTCTGCAATTGTAGAAATGCATACACCTCAGGGAATATGGTAAATCTATGTCTGCGAAGGAGAGAGGTAAACATCCCTGGATGAGGCCCACCTATGTGTTCAAGGTTCTGTGAAAGGGTACTCCACAGTCCACTATTGGATATATCCAAAGTAACAATAAGCAGTTCTCATGGGGTGGATTTGGCTTGAAATTCATATTGCTCTGCTGGGGATGAAAAGTCTAGGAACATTAGATCCTGTTATTTATAGGGACCCAAAAGCTAAAAATGTTGTATTCCCATTCTACTCTACTGGAGACCTATGGTTTCAACTCTGCATCCCAATGCAACTGTGGGTGGACATCAGATACTTCAGGAACCAACTGATGGAGCTCTGGACCAACAGTCTCACCCCAGGTATCAGTAACTGATACTGAATGTAGACACAAGCATCATACAAGCCCTCATAAAACTTGTACATTGCTGCTGCCATGCATCTGAAGACCACGCAAATTCAGGCTCAAATGGCAAGCACTTGAACTGGTGCAGAGGACAGAAATAATCTGTGGGGGGGGGGGGGACTAGAATGTAATAAACTGAGGAAGTTCCATAACCGTTCTATCCCTTTGCATTCCAAGGTCAAGTTCAGAAAGTCATATCTGCAGCACTGACTGCAGCATTTCCAGGTGTTCTAGGTCAATCCTCAAGCAAATCAGCTTGGCCAGATCAAAAATGTGTCAGATTTTCCACAGCAGACCAAAACCAGTAAGCTGGGGTAAAACTGACTGCGGATGGAAGTCACATACCCTTCTAAGCTACTGCTCTCTAGGTTTTTTTTTGACATTGCATCATTTTGTCTTTTGGAATGACACACGATCATCCACCCAGAGCAGAGAAAGAGACCTTGTCCCTTTCTCGGTCTCTGACCCCTTCAACATTTCCTCAGGAATCGGACAAGTTATCACTACTACCGCATCACCCAGAATTGCAAGATGAATAACTAACGTATATGTTCACAGTCCTGCTCAGACAGGCATAATGAACCCTTCCATTACCCATTCCTTTATTGCAAACTGGACTAGCACAACACAGGATTCTGTTTCACCACTATACTGTGTTGCAGAAATTTCACATACCAGTTGGTGTTTCTTTTTATCACATTTAGCAGGCCTATAATCTCTGGTCTTCAAGGAACCCTAAGCAAGTTCCTTCTATCGTTCTTTCATTTCAAAAGTAAGAGTTTCCCCCAGGAGAAACTGGTGAAGCCTCAGCGTAACTGCAGACCATAGTCTGGCTTTTGACACAAGGCACTTAGACTTGGAGTTAGTGTGTTATTCTAAGAAACAGTCAGTCAGTCAGTATCTCTGTGGAATCATCCAAATAATAAAAGCTTCTGGAAGACTTGCACAGTAGACCCACCCAATGCCATGATATATCCCACACTCATGTGTCTCTCGCTTTACTTGTTACCTATAGGTCACCCAGAGCTCTCAAACGCTAGATATCCCTGATACTACAAGGCTCTCTCGCAGGAGCAAGGACATACAGCAGCCAACAAGCAATATTAACTACATTTCCTGTGATACCTCCGCCATTAGTGAGGGTACCCAATCAGATAACCTTTCTTCTGTCGTTAAATAGCAGAATAAAGAGTTTTGATAAAATATTAATGTATTGAATACTATCTTATTGACTTTCCTCCTGATTATTAATAAGTATTGTTCAATATTAATGTGTCTCCCTTTTTTGCTAAATATAACATAACTAATAGTCCTTACAGTTATGCCATATATGTCTCACAATATGCAGTATTATCCCCCTGCATTAGGAATCCCTGTACTCATAGGGACCTCAACCAAAATATTTAAGACAGAAAACAAATACAAAGACTGAAAGAGGAACTGCTAACATAGTCCTGTCTTTCTCCTTGTGGCTTAAAGGAGCAGCCTGCTTGCTTAGAGTTTGCATCATACATTAATTTATTTTTACAGAGCAAGTGGGAGGATCAATGCAGCAACAGAGATATAAAAGTACAGGACAGCAGAAAGAACTTGCCTGCAGAGGAGTGCATCAGAGGTGCAGATGCAGCAGGAAGAGGAAAGAGGTTCTCATCTGAAAAACAAATACAACAAGGCCCTTAGAATTAAAGCAGCACAGATAGAAAGTGAAAAGCTAGCAAGGATGCACAATTGTAGAGAAAAAAAAAAAACAGTGACACCAGGACACATTCATTAAAAGAAAAAGTAAATATTTAGTAGATGCCATTTAATACTAGTAAAGCGTTTGTGCCTAGGTAGCCTGCTCATACCTGATCAGTATCATTTATATACTGCTTTTACTGGGGAAGGAGGGTGGCGGCACAAAAATATTAAGTATGACTTGTGCTTCATTCAGTGATTTTATTATGCAGAATTTCAGCATTAAATACCACGTATTGCTGTAAGTTGCATTCTACCCTGAGTGTTACATGCCATGAATAGATAGGGTTCTGCATGGGTTCAACCCTGAAACAAGCCAGCACGGGATTGTATTAAGGAGCACCCATAGAGGCATACATTCAAACCAAGCTAGCTCATTTTTAGATCACAAGATAAATGCACTGAATTAAAATGTTTGTGATATGACTCATATACCCTATAAACATGTAAAACATGTAAAACCTGAGTTGTATAGAACTACACACACACACAAAACACCAAGGCATCCAAATACAGATGTATTTAAACATACAAATCTGTTACAAAATTAGCATAAGAATGTTTTTTTTATAGGAAAGGTGAAGTGTAAATGTAGTGTAGACATAACAGATGGATAACTAGTGATTAGGTATACAAATGTAGAGTTCTACATGGCGCTAGAGAAAAATCTTTAAAAAAAATCCTTAAGGTTTAAATATTTTCCAGAAAACTACTTCGCCCCCCCCCCCTCCCCCCGCCCCTAAAAAAAAAATAAAGAAACCTGTTAAATCAAAGCCCTGTGGATGCCTGCACATCGTCCAGTCCCAAGTGATACATCGTGTGGAGACGTAAATTTAAGGGAGTTCTTTTACAGTGCAACAAACTGATGAAAATACATACCATACTTACATGAAGTTGCAGTCTGGTCAGAGCAAAGTACAGATAAATGTAACGCTATAAAATACAGTAAAGCGATTACGGGCTAAATCCCAATGACATGGCTTCAATAATATGCGCAACTAGGGTTATTGACCAATGTATGAATTTTAAACTCTCAAAAAATATATACCTTAGTGAATCACACTGCATGAGAACATTAAAATCAAAGGACATGAGATGCACACAACCAATTACATTAAAAGTTTAGACTTTTGTGTTCAGACAGAAATTATGTACTATTTCAGCTAGTGGCCCAACAACATGTGACTTCACAGCTTATGGAAGAGATAGCCTTCTAATTACACATAGTTAAATGCATTCTGTGTAACAGAAGATCCATTGTGGATTCACTCCCAAAACTAACTTTGACCCATGAAAGTAACTACTTCATCCTTTAATCTCTGCATTGGTTTAGTTGGACATTTTTTACTTATTCAATCAATCTCCTCCATTGCCGTTTGTTATTTATCTCAAAATATGACAAGTTTACATTCAGATTGTTACATTTATTTTTTTTGTTATTCATTTTAATTAAATAGTCTAATGATGCAACTTACAAAGTTTCAGTGTAAATTAAATTATCCAAGCATTAGAGAAGCAATTTTTAACATTGATTTATTTTATGTACTCAAAATCTTGATGATTTGAGTTGTAAAGATTAGAATTGGAATTAGGAAAGGTTTTATTCGTGCTAAATATTTGCTAATCTGATTGATCAAGAAGCAACAAGTTGCCAAGATTGTTTATTTTCATTTAACCAGAACACTTGTGTTTTCTATTTTACCTTGCCTTGGAAGCCACTGGGCTAAAAATGTATAGTCTGTAAATAAAGTAGAAGGGTGTATGTCAGTCGTGCTACAAGCAGGTAACATAATATTCAGCCAGTTTACATTGAGCAATCAAGGCAACATTCCAAATCTAATGTGAGTAAAGACTGCATACGTACAGTGTGAACTTGACACTTCAAGTACATTATCACTAGATTACAGTGAATTGCATACACATTAGCAAAGGATTTAAAGTATTCTATGGTATTAAAAACTATTAGCATGTAACAAAATTAATCTGACACTACAGTCACCAGAACACCTACAGTTTATTAATGTAGTTCTGGCGAGTTCAGTCCCTGTAGGTTTTTTGCTGTAAACACGGTCTTTTCAGAGAAAAAGGGCAATGTTTACATCACAGCCTATGAACACTTCTAGCGGCCACTCATCAGATGGCCACTAGAGGTGCTTCCTGAGTCAGTGCTGCACAGTGTGCACCACAGCCGTTCGGCTTCTTAACGTACAGTATGGAGATGCTGAACTTCCCTCAGAGATGCATTGATTCAATGCATCTCTATGAGGAGATGCTGACTGGCGAGGGAGGAGTTTGGTTCCACCCCCAGCCTATCTCCTTGGCTGAGATCATCAGAATTGACCATTTTAGCCAATCCAATGCTTTCCTATGGGAAAGCAGTGATTGGCAGAGATCATCAAGAGGGGGGAGAGAGAGAGAAGGAGAGAGAGAAGGAGAGAGAGAAGGAGAGAGAAGGAGGGAGGGAGAGAGAGAAGGAGGGAGGGAGAGAGAGAAGGAGGGAGGGAGAGAGAGAAGGAGGGAGGGAGAGAGAGAAGGAGGGAGGGAGGGAGAGAAGGAGGGAGCATTTTTTCTCCCCTACTTTAAATTAAGATACAATAAGTTGTGTATACCTGGACAGCACAATTTAACAATGTTGCACCTTAAATTCACTTTTATTGGAACTGCTTTGTCACTTAGTGCACTAATTCTCTGAGGAAGCTGTGTAATTTGATGTCATAATAAAACCACTTTGAAATTAGAAAGCAAGCATCTTGCCATGTGGAATGAAAGAGATACACTACTTCCTCTCCCAGATACAGAGACCACATGGCAGTATTAGATCAGGCCTAAACGTTTCAAATAACAATCACTTAACTAACAGCTTATCTGGAACAAAGAAGCTGCTAAAAAAGACCTGTATTGAAGAGAGTCATATAAGTACTATTAGTTTACAATTTCTAAAGTCCGTCTATGAATAATGATTTGCGAGATCTATATCCAATCTTAACAGCTACACTTATACTAGTTTTGATGTAGAATTTCATGCTTCGGCCTACCAGTTGCATGCAGGAATGTAACAGTGGACATTACAGCTTTACACCTCTAGGTCTGTCTCTCATTTACCAGTGATGCTCCTTTGAAGCTCAGCCAACATTCCAACACAGCGGCAAAGACTAGACACCACCGACCTATACCATGGGCACGTGGTGACAATCTAGGTAGGCCAACAATAGCACACCAACTTTTTCCTGAAGTACAATGCCCACGATTCTCAGGCAGAGTATTATGCTGGCTGAGTATTATGGAGATTGTAGTTTACAAAAACACATGCAATGTCAGTTAGCCATCTTTGATCCAGGACATGAGAAGGCAACCTTTGGCACTTCAGATGTGTTGGACTACACCCCTCAGCATGCTCTTACAGGCATAATGCTGGCAATGCATCAATTGAGATGTAGGCTACAACATCTGGAGCACCGAAGGTTGCCTACCCCTGATCTAGGAGATCTAAAAGAAACATATGTTGCTTCCTTGAGACCCATTAATTTATAAATTAAAAAAAAAAAAAAAATAGAATGCAGCCATTTTATAGTTTTTCAATAAACTCTTCTTGCAAGTGAACCCCAAAAGGCACCCATCTGTCTGACTGATGATGAATAAGTAGTGTGTTTCACAGAACTTGCTGGAAAAATGATGCCACTGCACAACTGCAAAGCACATCCAGTCTCTTGGGCATTTGCTAAGTACAAGAGTGCTTTGTCTTTAACCATTCATTCCTATCAATACGACTGCAAGGTTTTTTTTATTTTTTGTTCGACATATTGTGATGCAGCAGCCGGATTCACTTCCAATATCCCTATGCTTATAGAACTGTCAATGGCATGGAAAAAGAAACTGCGTAGCAATAATACTGGGATGGATCCAAGACAATGGATAGGGAATCTGCAGACATTTCCAATCTATTTCAGAGATTGCGTGTCAGCAGCTGGAGAAACACATCAACAGTCACATGATCATTAGCTGGCTGAGAGGAATGGGAGTTGGTAGACTGACAGCAGCTTGAGACATTTGCTGGCCAACTGTGAAACACCCCTTAACTGGAGATCAAAAAAGCAAAAGCTGCACGGTTCTGAGGAAAAAAAACAACGTCATGCAAATAAGAGGACTATTTCTGGTTCCCATGCCTTGTGCACAGAGCAATACTGCAATTCCACATAAAAACGCATAATTATCCATGGGACAGGGCATGTTTCTTAAATAAAACATGTTTATAACACTTCACCTGTCACTACGATTCCTTTTAACTGGCGGCTGCAGGTACACGGTGCTATAATGAGTAATTGCGGTCTGGCTATTTTCTAAACATTTATTTTTCCCTCTGGCAAACATTGATGGCATACCAAAAAAGGTGTGTTTTCCCACTGGCATTGTAATGCTAGCTCAGCTAGAATGTATGAACACCCTTCCGTTAACCCTCTATGTTAAAATGGGCTGCTCCTGACTTTAGTACACAAGACTTAATTTACAGAGCAGACAGAAGGCATACATGTAAACATATAGTCTTATGTATAAACATGCATTTTAACTGATTATGGACAAGTGACAGCCTACACCATAACAATTTGCTTTAGGGTTCTATTCCAATATGTAAAGGCACAGTCATTTAACAACTTCTTCAAACAATTAACAAATGCAACAACAAAAAATTTTTTTTTATGAAATCCAGTCATATATAGCTCACTGGGAGGAAAGGGATGGAGTAGCCTGCCACCAATCACACCCCTATCCCAAAGTCTTCTGCAGTTATGAATCAGGTTTTTCTAGGCAGCTGGCACATATCAGACCCCACCCTGGTAGCAATATCCATTATGCACACTCACATGGCACACTCCTCCTCCCACCAGAAGGATAGTCATGTGGGCACACAGTGCTATGCATTCTGACAAGGGCAGGGTGTGCAATGGATGCACAATGCCACATGACTGTAGGATGGGCAACCAGGATTTCATGATGGAATCAGACACAAAAGCATCTAGATCTGGTGCTGCTCACAGAGACGCATCATTGAACATGTATCTGGTTGCCAATGCGTGTTGCCGACAAATATTATATTTCTAGCTGCATAAGCTGTTCACGTGATGCTTTTAGCTTCTAATTAAAATTTGTCATTTTTGTCATAGGCTCTTATTTTTATTATTTCTATACAGATACATCTGCATGTGTTACATTATCCAGGTAAATTACCTGTTTAGCTGCATAATAAATGTATAGGCAAGAGATACAAATATTTTACACTAAACTACCAGAAAAAAAAAGAAAAAAAATAACACACAGAAGTAATTTCCACAAAACGCAAAAACATTTTTTTTCCATCAATTAAATTGTATAAGGGTATACAGGGAGGATGACACCTGAAGGGGTTCGTTCATTCATTCATGCTGACTGATGACCTTTATCAGTATGGACTTAAAGACCAATATCTGTCTGGTGTGTGTGTGTGATGATATGGAGGGATCTGGCTTTGTTTGGGTGCTAATGGGTGGGAGTGTCTCTTAGACACTGTCTGTCTGTTAAACATGTGGGGTAGGTGGCATTTGGCAGTACCTGGGGGATGTGCAATGGATACCTTAATAAATTTCTGAGGAAGGTATCCTACTCCTCTGGTTAAGTTGCACCTGACTACTGAGAAGGGGCTAGTATGCTGATGCTTTCCTCAAAAGGGAGGGAGTGTAGTCTGTTCAGGAAGAAGGTAACATGTCAAAGTAGAGAGGGGGTGCCCAAAGTGTTTTGGAAATACCTCTTTCATGATGCTTATAAACTATAAATTCTGGCAATCTAACTTTAGGGTACCCCTTGTGTAATTGGTTTCATTATAAGGGACTGCACTGTTGGAACTCTGATTCTATTTGGGCTAATCTGTGCTAATTAGTATTCTGTTAAGAGAAGATAATGTAATGAGAGTTGGGCCTTGCTCCTATTGGGGGATGATCTGTTTAGGGATTAGGTTATGAGGCGCAGGGTTGTCCTTTGATCTATTTGGGGACACCTGGCTCTATTTTAGGATATTCTTTCCATTGAATGGAGGAATGTTAAAGCAATGTGAATCCTTGCTCTATTTGGGGCAGCATGTGGCTCTGAAGATAATCAGTCTATGGCAAGGGCGCCCAAAAGGTAGATCCCCAGATGTTGTAGAACTACAACTCCTGTGATGCCTTGCATGCGTTTAGAATGACAAAGCATCATGGAAGCTGCAGTTTTAAAACATCTGGGTATCTAGGGTGTACGCTTCCTGTCTGGGGGAGCCTGGATCAATTTATGGAATTTATACAGCAATGAGGCAATGTGTGGAGGGCTGAGTGTACCTTTCCTGTCTGGGGGAGCCTGAATCAATATAATGAATATATGCAGCCAGGGGTTAATGTGGGGGGCTGGGTGTACCTTTCCTGTCTGTGGGATCCTGGATCAGTTTAGGGTTTCTATGCAGCGAGGTGGCAATGGGAATAATTTGGATCTTTCCTGGAGGGGAGGTGGAGGGGATAATTTGGATCTTTCCTGGAGGGGAGGTGGGGGGAGAGGGGGAGGGATAATTTGGAGAGGGGAGGTGGGGGGATAATTTGATCTTCCCTGAGGGGAGGTGGGGGGTAATTTGATCTTCTTCCTGGTGGGGAAGTGGGGGGGGGGGGGGGTATAATTTGATCTTCCAGGAGGGGTGGGGGGTCGGGGATAATTTGGATCTTTCCAGGAGGGGTGGGGGTCGGGGATAATTTGATCTTCCTGAGGGGTGGGGTCGGGATAATTTGATCTTTCCCCTGGAGGGGTGGATAAGCTGGATCTTTCCTGAGGGGAGGATAATTTGATCTTCCCTGGAGGGGGAGGGATAATTTGGATCTTTCCCTGGAGGGGAGGTGGGGGATAATTTGGATCTTCCCTGGGATAATTTGGATCTTCCTGGAGGGGAGGTGGGGATAATTTTGACCCCTTCCTGAGGGGAGGTGGGGGGATACCTTGGATCTTCCTGGAGGGGAGGTGGGGACTAATTTGACTTTCCCGGAGGGGAGGTGGGGGGGATAAATTTGGATCTTCCTGAGGGGAGGTGGGGGGATATAATGGATTCCTGAGGGGGCAGTGGTGGGGGGATAATTTGACTTTCCCCTTATGGGGGACAATTTGATCTTCCCGGAGGGGGGGAATAATTCTGATCTCTTCCCCTTGGAGGGGGAGGGATAATTTGATCTTCCTGAGGGGGAGGGATAATTTGATCTTTCCTGAGGGGGAGGGATACCTGATCTTCCTGAGGGGAGGGATTATTTGATCTTTCCTGGAGGGGGAGGAGGGATCATTTGATCTTCCTGGAGGGTGGGAGGGATTATTTGATCTTTCCTGGAGGGGTGGGGGGATAATTTGGATCTTTTCCTGAGGGGAGGTGGGGGATAATTTGTAATCTTTCCTGAGGGGTGGGGAGGATACTGATCTTCCTGGAGGGGTGGGGAGTGATAATTTGGATCTTCCTGGAGTAGTGGGGGGATAATTTGATCTTTCCTGAAAGGGTAGTGGGATAATTTAGATCTTCCTGAGGGGAGGGGTATAATTTGGATCTTTCCTGGAGGGGGGGGGCATAATTTGGCTCAGTACTTACCCACAGACCCTGTGGGGGTCCGGCGTGGCACTGGGGGCCTCTCCTCCTCCTCCTCCAGGGGGGCGCTGGGCAGCACGGGGGGCGCGATGGGCTGCTCGCTGATGCTGCTGGGCTCCTCTTCCTCCGGAGAGGGCTCCAGGCTGTCCGAGTAGCTGGGCTTGTCGTCCTCCTCCTCCGGCTCCCCCCGCCTGAACAGATCCGGGCGGAAACCGCCGGCTCCCCCGGTCAGATCCAGCACCTCCTGGTCCTCCCAGGGCTTCCTGTCCTCCTCGCGGGGCTCCGCGCTCGGGTGGGACTCGGGGTAGCTGGACGAGATGAACGGCGACTGGTCCTCCATGGCGAGACAGAGCGAGCTGCGAGGGATGCCGGCTGGGAGAAAGTGCGCCACCCGTCTGGGAGCAGAGGGAGGGGCCGCGCTAACAATACAGAGCGGGGAGGAGGGAAGCTCGGCTCCAGCGCCACGCCCTGGTGACTCAGATTCTGTCAGGAGCTACTGTCATGGCGCCCAGCACGAACACCCCCCGCCTCCATCCAACCAGCCAGCGAGCAGTCAGTCTTACCAACCAATAGGAAAACGGGAAATGCATTGTGGGCGGAGCCGTTCATGTGTCGGAGCCAATCAGAGCGCCAGTAGCCGGCAGCTTGTCAAGAGATAGGGGGGGTTGGTTGCTAAGGAAACCGACAGGAGCCGGTGAAGCCACAGCGCACGTGAGTGACAGCTAGGCCAGCCAATAGCGGGGCGAGTACGGACATTCACCAGAACTGCCCACCCACAGTACAAGGATTTTTTTGGCCGTGACAGGAGAGGGCCTGGGCGTAGTGAAGTGATGCGCGGTTACCACGGCAACGGACTTCCCACGAATAGGAGAAGTCCTTCTGAGAAGTGACAGCAACTAGAACCAATGAGCGGGCAGGGAGAGGCTGCCCTGAGGAAATGCTTAACCAATCAGACTGCTCCATGCGCCTGCTTGGCAGATAGAGCACATTGCTGTGTCCTAGCCTGGTCATTGTGTGGGTTATTAATCATAGTTAATACTATGATTAATAATCATAGGTTATTAATCATAGTAAAATCATTTTCTCCGAATAAGCTGTTTGTTCCATTACGTTACTCGACTTAAATTTGAAATTCAGTAGGAATTCTCAGTTTAGTAAATAACGCTGCAAATGTTACACTGCGATAGCCGGACACACAGCTTGAGAATCTTTCTAAAAAAAAAAAAAAACAATTATTATTATTATTATTATTTTATTATTTATATAGTGCCATCAGATTCTGTAGCGCTGTACAATTGCAACGTTTAATTACGGACGTAAAATATAGCAAATTCAATAACACAAGCCGTCCGTTTCCCTTTCCTCCTTCAGGCTCCCCAAACGCTGGTGTCGACGAGAGGTTTAACCCCTTAAAGGACCACTATAGTGCCAGGAAAACATACTCGTTTTCCTGGCACTATAGTGCCCTGAGGGTGCCCCCACCTTCAGGGTCCCCCTCCCGCCGGGCTCTGTGGAGGGGAAGGGGTTAAAATCTTACCTTTCTCCAGCGCCGGGCGGGGAGCTCTCCTCCCTCTTCTCCTCCTCTTCGGCTGAATGCGCATGCGCAGCAGGAGCTGCGCGCGCATTCAGCCAGTCTCATAGGAAATCATTCATAATGCTTTCCTATGGACGCTTGCGTCTTCTCACTGTGATTTTCACAGTGAGAAGCACGCAAACGCCTCTAGCGGCTGTCAATGAGACAGCCACTAGAGGCTTTAGAGGCTGGATTAACCTATTTATAAACATAGCAGTTTCTCTGAAACTGCTATGTTTATAAAAAAAATGGATTAATCCTAGCTGGACCAGGCACCCACACCACTTCATTAAGCTGAAGTGATCTGGGTGCCTAGAGTGGTCCTTTAAGGACACATGACATGTGTGACATGTCATGATTCCCTTTTATTCCAGAAGTTTGGTCCTTAAGGGTTTAAACGGGTTGCAGCGGGAAATAGATACTTTGTATCTGGGGAGGGAAAAGACGAAGAATTGTTATGATATTACTGTATCAACAAAAGCAGAAGGGAAGACTGGGATTCACCTTCCTGTGTCCCGCCGGGGAGCCCAGTTGGTGTAGATAGTTCTATGGCATTCTCTACCGGTGGAGAGAATGTGGGTAGATTTAGAACCAGGATTTATGGGCTTGGATTTGACCCAATTAACTTCTGACTCATGTATTCTACAGCTCGTTTGGTGTGGACCCTTGGTCTTTCTTTTGTTATCCAGGGATAGGCAACCTTCAGCACTCCAGATGTTGTGGACTACATCCCCCATAATGCTCTTACACCCATAGTGCTGGCAAGGCATCATGGGAGTGTAGTCCAAAACATCTGTAGTGCCGAAGGTTGCCTATGCCTGATCTAGACCCTTAGAAGGTTTTCCTCACTAACTTTAATGATTTATTAAAGGATCACTGTCATCTCAAAATTATTTCCATGTAATAACCCCTTCATCAAGTATTAAAAGGAAACACTTTTTTTAGTATATGAAAAGGGTCCTTCAACCATATACAGTACATGCATCTTGGGTCAGACAGTGTTTGAGTTTGAAATGTTAGTTGGTCTGATGATATCACTGCACTGTGCAGGGATTGAAGCAGGTAAGACTGCATAGTCAATATATTATATATTATAGACTATATAGACCTGGGTTACCCAAAAGGTAGAGCCCCAGATGTTGTCGAACTGCATCTCCCATGATGCTTTGCATGCTTTGAGAAAGCTGTAGCTTTAAAACATCTGGGGATCTACCTATTGGGCACCGCTGATATAGAGGTTTTCAAACACTATCTGACCCACTGTGCATTTTTATGGCTGAAGGATCCTGTCACATGCTAAACGTAGGAATAATTATTTTTTTTTTACATATACTTCATTTAACACAAAAGCTATTTCCTTTCAAAACTTGTTGAAGTGACAGTTGTCCTTACGTTGGCTGCCTTATAGGGTACTAGCCTCTAAGTGGTTGTAGCCTAATCTTTCTTCCTTGGAGCAAGTTATTGTTAAAATCTACAATAACAGATTAAAGGAACACTATAGTGCCAGGAAAACATACTCATTTTCCTGGCACTATAGTGCCCTGAGGGTGCCCCCACCCTCAGGGTCCCCCTCCCGCCGGGCTCTGGGGAGAGGAAGGGATTAAACTTACCTCTTTCTCCAGTGCCGGGCGGGGAGCTCTCCGCCTCCTCTCCTCCTCTTCGGCTGAATGCGCATGCGCGCGCATTCAGCCAGTCTCATAGGAAAGCATTTACAATGCTTTCCTATGGACGCTGGTGTCTTCTCACTGTGAAAATCACAGTGAGAAGCACGCAAGCGCCTCTAGCGGCTGTCAAGAGACAGCCACTAGAGGCTGGATTAAACCATTTATAAACATAGCAGTTTCTCTGAAACTGCTATCTTTATAGAAAAAAGGGTTAACCCTAGCTGGACCTGGCACCCAGACCACTTCATTAAGCTGAAGTGGTCTGGGTGCCTATAGTGGTCCTTTAATAGGCTCACAACAACTCGTTAGCCTCCTATGAGAAAACATGGGCCCTTTAGGATGATTTCACTGCCTAACTTTGGTTTGCCTTCTCATTCTCTATTTGATTGAGTTTGGTATTGTACTTTTTGTTGTGGAGATATGTTTCTTCTCTGTTTTGTGTTTATAATTGGCTTCTATCAGTTTGTAAAATTACAAGGGCTGTACTGAATGTCAAATGCTGTTGTGCTGTTGTACTATTGCACTTATCTCTAAATAAATATTACAATTTTTTTATTATTTTTTTTAAAGACACTCTAAAATACAGCCTGGTTATTTTAGCCTAAATATTCACATTCAGATTTATGATTGCTGTAACAGAGACTTTAGTGGATAATCCTCTAAAATTTAAAGGGACACTCCACTGACTAAATGAAAACCATTACGTTCCCCCTATCGGTTAACGTCGGAGGAGAAGGGAGTCCAAGGCGTCCAAGGAACTTCGGCACTGAAATTAGGGATTTAATAGTTATTTAACCTTTTACTTTTGGGGAGGGGGCAGAGGACACTGTAGTATTAGAAATACAGTTTTCTATTACTAACACTATTGTGCTCCTTTAATTGCATTTTATAAAAGTCCATATTTCTATGAGAAAAGACACCTTTTAAATTAATTAACACATCCCCGGATCTGTTGGAGCGCGCCTGCCACTGTTTTCCACAGTCATAGTAAGCCTGTGAGTGAGCGCATAAGTGTGCAAGTGCCCGTGAGCATTTTACCTCAGTTCCTCAACGACTCTTGCCTTACTCCTTTCCCCCTCCCCACCCCCCTTGCGCATGGATGAGACTATGTGGTATATTTGTGAAATATTGTTTATTTATGATTTTTCATGTGGACTGTTCCTATAAGTGCACTGATATTAAATTTATTTTTAAAGGTCTGGACGATAACTCTAACAGGGTTATTTACTAAAGTGAGAATTCAAAAGTAAATTCTATGTGAATTTCAAATTTAAGGGCAAAATATCCAAACTGGAGAAATTCTCTCAGTTCTGTTTTAAATTTGACTACTGTGACCTTAAATTTTAAATACATGAAAGATGGCTGGGAAATTGAAATTTATAAGCTAAAACAGACAAACTTAAAAAAGATCTCTCTCTGCAGCTCAGGAGAGGCTGAACCTACAAGCGTGAATTAACCGGCCTGTCCTAGGGATTTCTAACGTCTCTTGATAACTGTATGAATGGCGTAAATTCAAGTGGATATCTCCCTTGAAAATCTCATATACTCTGAATCTATTCTAAATCTCTTCTGCAGCAACCAAACCGGCTGTGACATTGAGTCTCTCCTCCCCACCGGCCAAATTTAGATGTAAAAAATTTTTTTAAAAATGAAAAGAATCTTCATGACATTGTGATCCAAACATTTGTCTTTGACATCACTAATCAAGCTGCTCACTTAGACCAGTAAATAGCCAAACAGTCCTTTTCTCTTTAATGTGGCTTTGATAGGATGGGTATCTATGTATCCGTTGTAGAAACAATGAATGTACTGGTTACCACACCAAGGCTGGCAATGCTATACATCCACAACAGATATAAACCGAGTATTTGGTGAAACCAACCTTTAATGAATACGTCTAGATGTTTGCATGCTTGTTGACATGACAATAATGTGCTACTCTGTACATCAATTTAGAATGTTAAGATAGAGTGTTTTTTTGCAGCCCTGGAAGTAGAACATACACCGTTTTGTATTTCTTTTGAATCAAGGTATCCAGAAATGTAGTGAGTCCAACGCTGATTATTGTGTTGTGTTTTTTATATTTGGTTCATTAGCTGACAGGGGTCAGTATGAGCTGAAGTCACTCAGTGGTAGCTAGCGGTGCTGTCTTGAAATATATAGATTTACTCTGTGGTTACTGACACACTTCATTCACCTGGAGGCCATGCTTCAGACATCTCCTGCAATAAAAGAAGCTTAATCGTTACTAGACATGACAGTGGCATATGACACATTGAACATGATGTAAGAGAACTCATGAAAAATATATTTCACTTGTGAAACGGAGAGTAACACTAGTGATTAAATCCAGGAAACATATTGTTTATTTCAGTTTAAGAAGAAATATTAATGATAAAAATGTGGAATTTTCTACTTAAAGAATTGTCTAATATGAATCTTTGGATTTTTTTTTGATTTTTTTTAAAGGCTTGAATGCTTTTTTTGCATAAACAGAATATAATGAATATGTGTGTGAACAGGTTGTTTATCCAAGGAGA